ATGAATCAAATATGTATCTTTACTCATTTACAATAAACTCATAAAGTACATCATTCTGATTGAAGCTAAGGGCATACAAAACTGTCTAACATATAACATATATTATACCACTCATAGAGCTGGTATCTGTCATGTTCATATGAAAAAACTAATCAAAAGAATACAGTAAATTGAAAGTCTGATCTACTCACCGGAATTGGTAGGCGGAGTTGGAGCAGTGGCATTATTATAGAAATCATACAACTCATACCTTAAGTCGCAATTCCTATTAAGTACTCTTGCTCCTCTATAGAAAAAGCAGCAACCTAGAATTTCATCTGTAGAATTTTGGAGACACTGATAACAATCATCTGCAGATAAGTCGTTGGTGCACTGCACAAGACCATATATCTTATCATGGTTGGTAAAATTAACATCTCCAATGGCATACGTTCTGTTTGAGGTATTGATTGTAGCCTCCTTAGAAAGGTTAGCTAGTAGGCTTCTCACAACCGGAGTGAACTGATCTGGGTTTGTTAAGTTATTGGGGTTCATCAGATGAATATTTCTATCTTGAACTTGGCCAAAGAAACTTTGGTTCGAGTAGCCCAATTGACAGTATTCCTCCCAAACGGTTGCTTCTTTTTGGTTTGGACACAGTCGGTTGATGTCCTGAATTGCACTTTCTACACAAGCCTTACAAATGTCAAGAGAAACAAAATTTATACACATGAAGAGGCCATACACACTATCTGAATTGTTGCCAACGGTAGCCTTATTGAAGACTGAGAGAGAAGCTTTGGCGGATAAATTCTGGAGAAGGAGATTGAGATTATATTGAAACGTGCTATTGATCATGTAACTATATGCGCTTGAACAGAGTTGGTAAGGAGGGTCAGCACGACAAGGTCTATGAAGCACGGCAAGTAAGAGAGAATAGAACCATAGCATCCGAAAGGTTTTTGAAGCAGAGAAGAAGAAAGGACTCATTTCCAACATTTGCAAGTATTACACAAAATAATTCTCACTGTTGCTACAGCCACCAGTGGAACCTCTAGATTGTTTTGGCTGGGAGTAGACGAGGTTAACTACAAATATAAACCGAGTTGATTGGTACCTGTTTCCAGACTCCAGAGTAAAGAGGTTAGTACTTGCCACTCAATTCTTTGAAGGATCATTGCCACAAAAATTGCACCAAACCATCAAATACATAGTGATAGAGAGGTTAAGCTAACCTAACTCAACAAGCAGTTTTTGATAGTTGCTTCAATGGGTTAAATTTGGGGCATTATGGGTCAAGGTTCACCCTGAAGTAGGTTTGAATAAGGGCTTACTGTGGGCCTGAAAGGGTCAGCAGGCCCAAATAAAGTTTATTTGGGAATTGGGAGTGGCCAGCTGATAGTTTATTCGGGTTGGCATGGCTTTAGTCGGGTCAGGTGATTCGTAATCTTAAATGTGTAATTGTAGAGAGTTAACCTACTGTTATTATACTCGGTAAAACTTCATAACCGGTTTTGGAGGGCTTTTACGCTTTTACCTTGATTGAACTGCAGTTGGCCGTTTAGCTCCGTCACTATGTTGATTTTGCAGTTTCTATAAACCTATTTCCGACTTTTTAGGTTTTTACCAAACACGATTTCAGCATGCTTACCTCTCAAACAGCTCCTGGTTGAGAGGGTTTTTGGAATGTGATTTCTCTGGGACCACACGGAAACATAAAGGGGTGGAATGAACAATAAAAACCCAAACATAAAGACTGTATGTTGTCTGTATTTGATGAAAATTCAGAAACCCAAATCAATGTTACTTGCGCCACTCTGACGAGTTCAAATCAGCCCCCCACAACGTCTCACAGCACATCTCCGCTTTGCATTAAAAACATTTCTCAATGATAATATCAAAAATGATGATCATCATGGGAAAATATTCTCAATACACGGTAGGAATATGGTGTGCGACGTTAGAGGGGCTGAGTCGGTCTCCACTCTGACGAAACACGGATGCATGAGCCGCTTCTTATTAGCAGCAGCCCTACCTAACGGATACAAAAGCGTGTCGAAGCACAAGTCTACAGCTCATTGGCAATTCCATGCATCCATTCTGTTATCTTGGCCAACAATCCTAAACCCATCAAATACGTTTTAGACTTTTAGTACTACACCGGATTCCAAATCTGATGGTTTTGCCTCTTTCAGCATTTCAGGCTTTCGGCAGCGATTAGAGTCAGTTCATTTGTGAATCATACGCAACGCAGATTAACCAACCAATAAGGATCAAAGAGTAAGCAAAGAAATCAGGGCAGGATACGGTTTATAGGGGGTTACTTGATAAACTGAGACACTCCAGTTTGAAGGGAAAGATTTTCTTTCTCTGTTGCCTTTCAATCGAACATTACAAGATATATATAGAGGTAGAGTTAGCTCCCTCTTGTGATTAGGATACAAACTCCTACATGAACAAGAAAGCTCAAAACAAAGAACAACTAAGATTCATACACCCAATAGGACTCATATAGTGAGAAGGATCCGCTAATACCCCCCCTCAAGTTGGAGCATGTAAACGGGAAATGCCCAACTTGGCAAGAAGATGCTCGAATGGTTGCCTGCCCAGGACCTTCGTAAACATATCAGCAAGTTGCTCGGAACTCCTGACGTGGGAAGGCCGTATATTCCCATTCTGAATTTCATTGCGGACAAAGTGACAGTCTACTTCAATGTGTTTAGTCTTCTCATGGAAGACCGGATTCGCAGCGATATGCAAGGCTACTTGACTATCACAGTGTAAAAGCATAGGATCAGGATGACCGACTCCTAATGAATGCAACAACCCTTTTAACCATTTCAATTCACAAGCAGCTATTGCCATGGACCTATATTCCGCCTCTACCGATGATCTGGATACTGTAAGTTGCTTCTTTGTCTTCCATGAGATAGGTGTTTGTCCCAATAACACAAAGTATCCAGTGAGAGAGCGTCGTGTCAGTGGACACCCGGCCCAGTCAGAATCATAGTAAGCATTCAACCGAAGATCACTGTCAGCCGGAAGGAAAATTCCCTGTCCTAGGTTGCCTTTCAAATATCGCACCACACGTAAAGCCGCCTCCTAGTGTTCTTCACGGGGGTTCTGCATAAATTGAGCAAGCACATATACACAGTAGGACAATTCAGGACGGGTAATAGTTAAGTAAATTAAACGACCCACAAGCCTCCTGTAACTCTCTGGTTTCATCATCAGAGGACCATCTGCCAGAGCTAGTTTATGATTTTGTTCCAGGGGAAGTCCAGCTAGCTTAGATCCTAGCAATCCAATTTCTAATATGATATCTAAAGCATACTTCCGCTGACAAAGAGCAATACCTTTCTGGCTTTTGGCGACCTCCACTCCCAAAAAATACTTCAAAGCTTCCAAATCTTTCATGTGGAAGCATTGACTCAAATACTCCTTGAATCTTCGTATAGCATTGCCATTATTTCCAGAGATAACAAGATCATCCACATACACCAAGATGTTCAACTGTTCCTGCTTCTATCGAAGTGCAAACAAGGAGTAATCAGATTGTGACTGGATAAACCCATACTGTTTTAAGGCTGTCGTTAGTTTAGCAAACCAGCAACGAGGGGCCTGCTTTAAACCATAAAGGGACTTGTGGAGCTTGCACACCTTCCCAGGTCATCTTGAAGCAAATCCAGGGGACATCTTCATATATACTTTTTCTTGCAGGTCTCCGTGAAGGAACGCGTTTTGCACATCCATCTGATGCAGTTCCCAGTTTTTAGCCACAGCTACTGCAAGGAATGTGCGGACTATAACCATCTTTGCCATAGGTGCAAATGTTTCATTGTAGTCTATCCCTTCAACCTGTTTGTTTCCGAATATCACCAAACGTGCCTTGTGCCGCTCTATTGTGCCATCTGAGTGGTACTTTATCTTGTATACCCATTTACTTCCGATAGCCTTTTTCCCTGGCGGTAAGTCCACCACTATCCAGGTTTTGTTGTTTTCTAAGGCTTCAATTTCCTTTCTCATTGCTTCTCTCCAACGAGAGTCCTTGACAGCCTCTGAATACCTCTGGGGTTCATGATTAGTTGTGACAGCTGCTAAGAAAGAGCGGTGTTGCAAAGAGAATTTATCACAATTCACATAATGTGTTATAGGATAGGGAGTACCTGAGAAGGGAAATTGGCGAGATGAACTGGCAGAAGGGCTCGGACTGCGATCGGAACACCATGTGGTGTGTATGACGTAATCCTTGAGACGAATGGAAGGATGCTTCACTCTATGGCCCCGTCCAAGTTGCTCATTCCCAGTATTCATTTCTTCCATAGAACCCCCCCCCCCTTACTTCATGCTCCCCTCCATTATTTTCATTCTTGTCGTCCTGATCTGTCTCTCTTATGATCTCACGAGTACCATTACCCCTTCCTCTCTCACTATCATTTTCGCCATACTCTTCAGTTTCCTCCTGGTCATAAGCAAGATTACCATCATCGGGTTTGTGTTTGACTCATTTTTCTTCAATATCACAAGGAAATTCAGTTTCTGAGAACACCACATCCCTAGAAACAAAGTATTCATTATTTTCTAAGTCATAAACTCTCCATCTCTTCTTGCCAAAGGGGTATCCCAAAAAGACACAACGTCTGGCTCTATTGGCAAACTTGTCCCTGGTCCGATTTAGGTTTCGTGCATAACACAAACATCCAAATGTGCGTATATGTTTGTAGCTTGGTTTCTCCCCATACAACATCTCATACGGTGTTTTACCCAAAAGGAGAGTGGAGGGGGTCCTGTTGATCAGATAACCGGCTGTCATAACACATTCTCCCCAAAACTCAAGAGGGAGATTGGCCTGAAATCTAAGTGCTCTAGCAACATTCAGTATATGTCTATGCTTTCTCTCGACACGTCCATTCTGCTGCAGTGTTTCAACACATGAGATCTGCTGTATAATGCCTTGCTCAGAGAAATATTCCTTCAAGCAAGTAAATTCAGTACCATTGTCGCTTCTAACTATCTTCACCAATTTTCTATATTGGCGTTTTACCATAGTGAAGAAGTTCCGCAGTGTTTTTCCTACTTCACTTTTGTCATTAAGTAAGAATACCCAAATGGCTCTTGAGAAGTCATCGACCACGGTCAAAAAATACGAGGCACCACAAGATGCCCGTATCGAGTACGGACCCCATAAATCACAATGAATCAAATCGAAAGTCCCTTTTGCATTATTTTCACTAGAATCAAACGCACTTCTTGTTTGTTTGGCTTTTGAACAAACACCACATAACCTATTTCTACTATCACATCTAATGTTTAAATCAGGAAGAAGTTTAATTACTTTCTCAAAGGGATGACCCATTCTCCTATGCCATAACTCGTATGATGCTTCAACCTTTGCTTTGTGAACTTTGCTTGAGTGCGCACCTTTGAAGCAGTAGAGCCCTCCACGTAGTTCACCCGCACCAATCACCATCCTCGAAGTGCTGTCCTGTATAACACAAAATTTATTAGTGAATTGGATATTACAATTTGAATCTTCTAATAATTGCGACACAGATATCAGGTTACAATTTAAACGAGGAACATAAAGCACATCTGTAAGCTTCATGTGCGCATTCAAAATGGCGATCCCTTTCTTTATTGCCATGACATGCTTTCCATCGGGCAATCCAACCTGGAAACCGGTCACGGTCTCGGTATTACGCAAGAGGTTCAGGTTTCCTATCATATGGTGTGAAGCTCCTGTATCAATTATCCAATTCATACCTGTCAACTTCTCGGTTGTGCTGGGTTTGCAAGAATTTAACAGATTAAGGAAAGTGGACTATTCATTAGTCAATCCACCGAATGCAGTGCAATCTCCCTCTGTCGCGTGGGTCGGTTCTGAAGCTTGCCCTACCGCTTGTGCAGCATTCGCTCTCTGTCCGCCTCCACGTCCGCGACCAGATTTACCTTGTGTTCCTCGGCCTCATGCTTTCCCACTCCCAGTAGATCTCAGCCGGTCTCCCCACCAGTCCGGGTAGCCGATAAGTTGGAAGCAACTCTCGACCTCATGTTCTGTTCATCCGCAGTTGGTGCACACTCCAGATTTCTCTTTTGTATCGTGTCCCGTTCTTTTTGTGCCACCTTGTGCTTGCACAGCAAAGCTCATTGCCTCTTTTCTTTCTTCTTTGCTCCGGGTCATGGTTCTCAGCCGCTCTTCTTGTATCACCATAGCATAGGCCTTGTTCAAGTTTGGCAGCGGATCAGTGCCCAGAATATAGGAACGCACTATTCCATATACTGAGTCATCCAAGCCCATTAGAAACTGATGAACTCCCTCTTCTTCTCATCTCTTCTCCAGTTTTGTGGCGATGTTGCAGTTACAGCCTGCACAGACGCATGTCAGAATTTGCACATAGTTAGCAAGTTCTTCCCAGATTTGCTTCAATTTGCCATAATATGTCACAATTGGGAGACCAGCCTGTTTGCTGGTCGCAAGATCTGCCTTGAGTTGTTGTATTCTTGGTTCATTGCCCACTGAGAACCGTTCTTTGATGTTGTCCCACAGGTCCTTCGCAGCCTCCATGTATGTGACTGTAGAGCGTAGGGTTGGTTCTATTGTGTTGAGGATCCATGAGACCAGCATCGAGTTCACAGTCCACTAGTCTTCCAACTCCAGTGAATCGTCCGCGGGCTGAGATATGGTTCCATCGAGAAATTCGATTTTCTTCTTGGCTCGGAGCGTCGCATTGCTCGAGCCCATTCCTCGTAGTTATTTCCTTTCAATTGGACTTGGGTAATTATATTACCCGGATTGTCATTGGCCACCAAGTAGTACGGTGAGATTACCTTTCTGCTTCTGCCCTCACCTTCATACTGCCTCTCTCTTCCATCCGCCATGATCGATCGGTCAAAGCAAGGTGTTTCCTTCCTAGTTCTAGCGAAGAACAACTACCGGCTTTGACCGACTGTTTAGCGAAGAACAACTACCGGCTTTGACCGACTGTTGAAAAGAGATCCCTGAAGAATCCTCAGAGAAGGAAGTCGAAGGGCTTAAATAGGACAGGAGTCCGTCCCCTCTCTTTCTCTCTCTCTAACCGAGCTAGTGAAGCAGCGGCAGCGGCTCAGAAACCTTAATCGGAATCGTCTCTCCAAGTCTTCTCCATCGTCGTCGTGGAATTTAAAGATTGGGAACAAAAAAAACGGAGCGGGAGGGAACCGTCACCGGCTTTGCATCTTCCAACGACAACTCCTATTTCCTCTAAGAGAGTTTGCTTCACGAGCAACGATCGAAAAGGAACAAATACCGCCGCCTCCAGTCTTGACGATCGGAAGGAGGTAGAGTCTTGCTAATTCTTCAGCGATCTGCTCCACGAACAGAGGTTAGAGAAGATCGAATGAGCAAGTTCAGAAGGCGGTGCAAAAGTCGAACGGACCGCGCTTTGATACCATGATAAACTGAGACACTCCAGTTTGAAGAGAAAGATTTTCTTTCTCTGTTGCCTTTCAAYCGAACATTACAAGATATATATAGAGGTAGAGTTAGCTCCCTCTTGTGATTAGGATACAAACTCCTACATGAACAAGAAAGCTCAAAACAAAGAACAACTAAGATTCATACACCCAATAGGACTCATACAGTGAGAAAGATCTGCTAATATTACTAGTAGATTAGGAGGGGACTGCAATTTCAGATTTTTGAGATAGATTGCAGTCCACTTATTAAAGATGGGAGTTACTCTTTTCATTGGCTTCTGCTCTTCGCCTTAAGATAATACCATATACAGTTAGGAGTACTGAAAATGGCTACAAGGTACGTAGGGATCTCTTTGCTTCTCCTTTTCTATTAAACATGGGAGTTACCAGACCATTCTTGATACATCTGACTGATGGTGATGTTTGAGGCTTGGAGAGGACCTATGTGGGATAAGATAATAAGTGGATTGCAATCCACCTCAAAAATCTGAAATTGCTGTCCTCTCTTAGTCTACTAGTAGACCCCTATAAACCGCATCTTGCCCATAAATTTGGCATCAATCCACGATCAAGATTCAGTCTACCCTTAAAAATCTTAACTCCACCTAAAGAGTGGACTGAATATTAAAATCCCCTTTAATTTTTCTCCCTGGGTAAGCCGCCAGTAGGCAGTGATAAATAGGTAAGGTTGCTACTTGCTACTAGCTTTGGAGTTTTACATTTTTATATAAAGGTATAGAATAAGATCGAGGAGACTATATATTATGTTCCTTCCACATCAAAGAAATTGCCTCACTTTTATCCAACGTTTTATTATATTTATCTCAAAGTATTTTTTTCTTTTCTTTTATCTATTTATTGTTAGTCAAGTGAAGAGAAGTTGCCAAGAGGAGCAAACATGGAAAGTTCTGTTTGTGAATTAATTCTGACTCTCCTGTGAGTTAAATAGAAGTTCACTGAAACTATGGCCAGATGGCGACCAAGTTGAAAACCTTGCTTTTGAGAACAAAATAAAAAAATAAATAAAAAAAAAATGATGATTTGGTCAGTGGGTTGGAAGAAAGAATTCGAATGGATGCTTAGAGCGCACTGTATAATACATCCCAATCATATATTGGAAACATCTCGCCATGATAAGTCAAGCATGAAAGATGTTTTGGATGAGATATGCATATGGGATACTTTGTGGTAGAGGTGTCAATTGAACTAGATTTGGTCAAACCCGATCCAGTCCAATGTGAGTCCACTTACAAATGGACTGGATCCAATCCAGTCCAAATCCAATACAAATTAAATCTAATCCAATCTATTAAAATGTAAATGGACTGGATTGGATCCAATTCAAACCGAATGAAATATCAAATATTATATAAAAAACAGAGCATATAAAAATTATAAAAATATATTAAAATGAAGAAATCTGAAAATTACAAAAATATATCCTTTAGGCATTGAAAAAGCACTTTTGTAAAAGTGCTTTCATAAAAGTACTTTCATAAAATTGCTTTTATAAAAGTACTTTCATAATAGAAGTGCTTTTATAAAAGTATGTTTGCATAAGTGCTTTTGTAAAAATACTTAAGTACTTCCATAGAAGTGCTTTTGTGAAAATGCTTTTATAAAAGTACTTTTGTATAACTGCTTTTATAAAAGTACTTTCGTAAATGTTATTTCATAAAAGTGCTTTTGTGAAAATGCTTTTCTAAAAGTACTTTCGTAAAAGTGCTTTCGTATAAATACTTTTATAAAAGTACTTCCATAAAAGTAATTTCGTATAAATACTTTTATAAAAGTACTTCAGTAAAAGTGCTTTTGTAAAAGTACTTTTAAAAAAGTACTTCCATAAAAGTTCTTTTGTAAAAGTGCTTTTGTGCAAATGTACTTTGGTAAAAGTGCTTTTATGAAATTGTTTCTGTAAAAGTGCTTTTAGAAAAGCACTTTTGTGAAAGTGCTTTTGTAAAAGTTCTTTCGTAAAAGTTATATTCATAAAATTATTTTTACAAAAGTGCTTTCATAAAAGTGCTTTTATAAAAGTACTTTCATAAAAGTGCTTTCATAAAAGTACTTTTGTATAACTGCTTTTATAAAAGTACTTTCGTAAAAGTTATTTCATGTGTTTTTGTAAAAATGCTTTTCTAAAAGTACTTTCGTAAAAGTGCTTTCGTATAAATACTTTTATAAAAGTACTTCCATAAAAGTGATTTCATATAAATACTTTTATATTCCATAAAAGTGCTTTTGTAAAAGTACTTTTAAAAAAAAAATTCTTTTGTAAAAGTGCTTTTGTGCAAATGTACTTTTGTAAAAGTGCTTTTATGAAATTGTTTCTGTAAAAGTGCTTTTAGAAAATCACTTTTGTGAAAGTGTAAAAGTTCTTTCATAAAAGTACTTTTATAAAATTATTTTTACAAAAGCACTTTCATAAAAGTACTTTCATAAAAGTGATTTTTTGTGGGCTTCAATTTTAATTGGTTTCAAATTGGACATAAATTTGGCCTCATGATTGGATTATTAAAAATTTGGTTTAAATCCAATTAAGACCAATAAGAATATGAACCAATTTATTTTAGATTAATCCAGTCCAATAATTATATGGACAGTTCGAATTCAATTTAATAAGGTTTGGACCAAATTAGATTCAACCCAAAACCGACTGATTGACACCCCTACTTTGTGGGGCACTGATCTCAACTAGGGGAGAAGTGCTCTACGGTGAATGTCTTTCGTGGAGTGGAGTGGTCCTTGTTAAACAAGTTGTAATCAGACTCTAAAGTTTTCAGACCGTAGACTTGACCCCCACTCGCAACCAATTACCCTATTAGAATTTTCTAGGATAGAGACTTGTTGGCCTTCTTTCCCACTTTTCCTTTTTCACATGGATATAATGTTTGGTTATCATAGATTTGGATTTAGATTTTTTCTTAATTTTCCCTTTCTTTGGATTTTTAAATTTTGAGATAATACATGACCTTTCACAATTTATACAGTCACGTTCTATTAGTTATACTAATGCATGGCTGTTACGTTCTATTGGCCGGTCAAAATTCACCATGAATTTTGATAAATGACACCTGATTGGTTATCGTGTTTATGATACAAGTTGATTGGTCAAAATTGTTTAAGATATCATATTTTTTCATATCATATATAGTGGAAACCCTTCTACTAATCTAGTAATTCTGTATCTATCTTTGAGTCCGGATTTAGTCTCAACATAGGGTCCCAACAATCAATCCCAATAAACATTGCAGTTGTATATCGAGAATATCTCGCTATAAAGGACAAGGGATCCCAAGGTTTCAAAAGTCCATTGCAGGGTCTAACAGAACATTGAAGATGCACATTAAAAACATCTCCCTTATCATTAGACCTACTCATGGGCCAACTTCCGCTTGACATTTGCCAAATTTTAATGGGCTTGACCCAAAACCCGGTCCCTAGGTCTATTTGTCATTCATGGGAGGAAGTATTTCCGATATACTACATTCATGGCTAGATGGAACGAGTCCAGATGTCCTATTCATTTTTTTCTACCCACTTTCTACTTGTCCTGAATTATAACCATATATCTTTTAATTCATAATAGAAATGTATGACTGCAATTCACGGCAGATAGAGAATGGATATGAAAAGTGAGTAGGAAATCCTGAGTGAGCTGGAACAGTGTCGTGACCGTTGTTATTGGTAGCAGATCTTCAACTCTGCCAATTCTCCCTTTGTTTTTGGTTCTTTACCCCACGTGTCAGTAAGTTGGTAGAACCATTTAACCGTAAAATTCTCCTGTTGGTAATAAGGATACGGAGAACACTTGTATATAAATAAGAAAAAACTTTAATTAAATGAAGAAGAAATAAATAGGTGTAATATGCATATGTGGAATAATTAAAAGAGGAAATTTTTCTTTTCTTTTTTTTTTCTGCAATAGTTACTCTAAGATGAGTTACAATTTATGAAAGATCTTCTACTGAAAACTTGAATCATGAAACCAACGATAATGAAGCATAGATTATGGAAGGAAAATCATTAATGACAACTAATAAGATCAAATAAATACTAATCTTTATACAGAGGCTGCAGGTATTGAATTGGCTCGAACAATGGGTTTTACAAAACTGTTGATCGAGACTGATTCGAAAATTCTTCATGATATAGTGACTAGACATTGTAGAACTCCTTGATAGCTTTGGTATTGGATGGATTTCATGGAGAACTCTCCTGCAGTTATAAACTTGCACATTGTACATAGTTACAGAGAAGTGGATCAAGTCGCAGATAACCTTTCTAAGATAGGTAGCGCTTCTTCTAACAACTTGATTTATAAGTCCATCGAGGAACTACCACGTGACACTAATGATAGTCTATGGGGAGTAAAGTTTGAGGCTTAAAAAATGATCAAACAAGTACTTTAAATATTTAATAAATCATTTGGATCAGATTGCCCGAAACCCATCCCAAAGTTACATCAGGTTCATACATTTTAACCCTAATTTATACCTTAACCTGATCATCAATCTGACCCAATTCAATCCGATTTTTTTGTTTGTTTTTTTTTTTTCACACTAACCCAACTCAAATTGCAGCCCTACTAAAGAACAATTAATCTCTGGTCCAAGGGGTCTGATTAACATCAGCTGCAAAATTAAACGGGCCAGTGGCATTGGCTGCTAAAGAAGGAAGAAAACCCAAAAATGCCTTCAACTGCTTGTTGAACTGTCCTTGTGAGTGTAATTTGACAAGTTAAAGGCACCCGCCATAGAAAACTTGAATGAGTCATCGGCTGAGAAGAAAAGGCCATTGTTCCAGGGAGAATAAGGTGCAGCAACCGTACCATATGCACGGTTAGCTGCCCTCATTTTGGGACATTGCTTGACCATCTCATGCCTTGACAACACTACAGCATCAGTACTTATGGCACATGGTGGCATTGATTCTATCCTATAGACTTGATTTGGGCTTAGGCCCACTGAGTAATTAACTACCCATATGACGGTATTTGGAGCAAAGGGAAAGAACAACCTTGAGTTTGGATGGACTTGAGCATCCCATTAATTAGCAATGTCGTTGTCTCTATCTGATGAGCATTCGCAGTGGACAGGCTCCTCACTGCAACAGCTATGGAGCATGACAAGCAAGGAAGAAAATAAGCGCATTAAACCTAATAAACTTTTTATCTTAAAAGCATGGATGTAGGATGCTTTTCTGTTTTGGGTGGTAGTTGTCTGGATCCACCTTGCGCCTTTCCTCGTTTTTCTCTGGTAGATTTTTATGCTGTTTTACCCATAAATTTGGAGTACAAAATAGCAAAGGTGGAAAGTGTTTGATCATCTAGGTGCAACATTTGAAATGGTTACATCGTTGATGGATCCATCTTCAGCATTGGATGAAGATTGTTCTGAATTCATAATAAAACGCTCGACTGAAAATGCTGGTCGCTTGGGTTGAGGAAGAGCTATGGACTCACTACCCAGCATGACAACAACATTTGACATTGTGGGTCTGTCTGCTGCTGCTTCTTGAACACACAGTAACCCAATGTGGATGCATCTCAACCCTTGACTTGTTGGGCATGAGTCAATTATGGAAGGATCTAAGAAATCCAAGCCTTTGCCTTCAGACCATAGTCGCCATGCCTGCAATTAATTTTTTTTATTAGTTAAGTTATACTTAGAATGAGCCTTATATGGAACAAATTAAACTAAACTATGATAAGGATCAATGATCGGAGAAGCCTACATGTGTTAGGAGACTCAGAGAAAGCTCAGATAATCGGAGTCCATTGTTCCTTTTACCACTTATGATCTCTAGTAGCAGAACCCCAAAGCTAAAAACATCTGACTTCACTGAAAATAACCCTGCCATAGCATACTCTGGAGCCATGTACCCACTATATCAAATCAAATTAAGTTGAATCAACACTAAATGTGTTCTGTGTTTCTATATGCAAACGCAAGATCAAGAAGAAGAAAAAGAAAATAAAGGATGATCTTACTATGTCCCCACGACTCTCCTGGTTTTAGCTTGATTTTCGTTGCCAGCCAAGATCCTAGCCATGCCGAAGTCAGATATTCTTGGATTCATTTCCTCATCCAATAAAACATTGCTAGCTTTTAAGTCCCTATGAATGATTTTGAGTCGAGAATCCTCATGAAGATATAAGAGGCCTCTTGCAATTCCATTAATAATACTGAGGCGCCTGCTCCAATCCAACTGATCATGTCTTTGTCGATCTGACTAGGAAAAGAATTACTCTTTATTACACAGGTTCAGAAATGCAAACAAAATTAACAGGGGAGCTCATGAAGTCGTAGAGATATAAAAGTGAAGTCAAGGTTACTAACCAAAGAGAAAGACATCAAGGCTGCTATTCGGCATGAATTCATAGATCAGCATCTTTTCTTTTCTCTCAATGCAACAACCCAAGAGCCTTACCAGATTTTTGTGTTGAAGTCTCGCAATTAAGGTAACCTCATTCTTGAATTCTTCAGAACCTTGCACTGAGCTTGTGGAAAGCCTTTTTACAGCTATTTTCTTGCCATTTGGCAATTCACCCTAATAATATAGCATCCAAACCATTAATAAAATTAGTGTCCGTTTGATTTGCAAATTGGAATTAGAACCAAAATCCTCCAAATTCGGAATCTGAGTGGTCTATTCTCATAGTCTGTTTGATTCAGACAGGAATGGGAATTGCAATCAGCAAGAATAGGATTTCATTCCCAAGGGAGGGACAGAGAATAGCCATTTCCTCAAATGGGGGAATGTCATTCCAGCAGGAATGAAAATGGGATTCAGATTCCACTCAACCAAACAGTTGGAATCGGAATAGTCCATTCCAATTCCAATTCCAATTCCAGACCCTTATTCCCGCAAACCCAATGGAACCTTATATATATTGATAAGAAGCCTATTCAAACTTATTGAGTGTTGAACTGATGAAAATCAATAAATGCCCAAATTAAAGCCCCAGACCAGACCTTGTAAACAGGACCAAATCCACCCTCTCCAGGTTTATTCTCCGAAGAGAAGTTACTTGTAGCAACTTGGAGAGTAGCTAAGTCGATCAACGGCATTTCTTGAGAATTAACTTGTTTTCCCGTTTGTATATTATTGCCAGAGAAGTTGGTACTATTTCTTGCCTCCAGATAATTCAATAGGGTAGGCTGCCCCTTTTCCTTTCTCTCTGCAAAAAAGAACATGCATAACTAGCAAAATTACTAAGTATTAAAATGGCAACCAAAGGTTCTTACCTCTAAGTTTTCCTTTCCTTCTCCAGATGTAGTAGAAACACAACCCAAAGACCGGTAGCGATAGACTTGCTAGAACAGTAGCCACAACGATTTTGGTTCTTTTACTTCCATCCCCTGCTTTTAGAATCATATACTCTCCCACTTCAATTGTAACAGTAAATATTGATTCATAATGACAATTTTTCTTTGTTTCTTTATTTATTTATTTTTTGTCTGAAAATCAAAATCTACAATTTAATTTATTTGTGAGATTTGCCAAGGACGTTACATGTTCATGCACAATAAGAGCCATTATTTTCTAACTGTAGAAGATAGAAATGTTGCAAAGTATTTGAGCTCAAAGACAAAAAGAGTAGACCATCAGCTCAAGTTCCAAATGGTATTACATAGAGAGATACGCGGGGAATCACTGAATCAAGGGTGGAGAGAACAGAATACACTTGATGTGCCCACTGGTCATGTCATGGTGAGCCTGCAGTTTCACATCTTTGATCCAACATCTCCAACTTCTTTTCCTAATAACATCACCCACACCTTGTTTTTTTTTGTTTGGTCGTTATGTGTTTGATGGGATTGATTTGGGCACATCCAATTTCTTCTACAATATTGGATTATTTCTTGAAAAAACACAATACATTCAAACACAGGTAGCTTCGAGATGGATGAATTAGAAAAAAGCAATGTAGAAGAAGACTTTAACCACGTTTAAACTTACACAGTTCAATGGAAAATCTATGACGCCGGCCGGAATGGAATAATTTGGGAAAAGGATATGATCAATCAAAACCCCGTGAATTTTGATAAAAATCCACCTGATGTCGCATGCAGTTGCTTTTATTTTTAAAAGCAAAATCAATCATGTTGTCTTTGTGCTAATTTTATTAAACTTGAAAATTCAAATAGGAGGGAGGCCCATCGGTCATGTACTAAAAAAAAAGCATTTGGACTGAATTTCTATTAAAGAAACAAAAAGATTGTTGACTGAATTGCTTCGAAGAAGCTATCAAAACTAGTTTTACTAAACAGTCGATTTCTCAGAATTTTCTCAGACATAACTTCACGGCTTTCCATATAAGGCCTACATTGGCCAGAAGCGGCTGAATGAAAGACCTCCTATACAGGCAGTTGCCCCTTTTTTAGAGAGGGAGGCATAGCCATTAGCCACAGGTACGTAAGCGTAAGGGTTTTATTTATTTATCGTGCATTGATTGACCAAATGAGACATATTTTCAAATTTATTATATCTATCTAAGAATAAGCATAAACAAAATTTGAAAATTGAAGCCATACAAACCCTGTGAAGTGGTGTTTGTCAACGGAGGAGACTGTGTTGCACCTGATTCTTCATAAAACTGGTAGAATTCAATCCTCCATAAACAACTGGACCTTAGAATTATCGCTCCTCGATTAAAATAGCAGCATCCTTCATAATCTTTCATGGCGACCTTTAAGCAATTGTAACAGTCATTCCTTGATAAATCTCTGGTGCACTGCATCAGACCATAAACCGTGTCCCCCATAAATTTTTGCTTCTTCACCGCAAACATGCTATCAGAAGGATCAAAGGCCGTCTGGAATGAAAGGTTACCCATGAAATCTTTCACGAAAGGAAGAAATCGATCGGGATCCGTTAAGTTCACCGGAGTTTGAAAGTTTATTGTTCCCAGTTCCTCCGTTGAAGAGAAGAATCTGTTGTCAGAGAAGCGTAGAAAGCACATCACAAACCATACTGTTGCACCTCTCCTGTTAGGACACAGTTGTTTGACGACGTCGTGAATGATTGTTTCCAGACAATTCCGACAAACTTCAGGGGTGGCATCACCTCTGCAGAGAGCGAGCCCATATACCTGGTCTGGATATTGGCCCACAGAGGTGTTGTAGAAGCCAGTGTTAATAGCATTAGAAGAAAGAGAAGGAAGAAGGATGTCAAGATTGGTTTCAAAGGGGCTATTAGGAGTGTAACTGGTTGTGTTTGAGCAGATATTGTAGAGGAGTTGGGCATAACGAGGGCTTATATTGATCAGTAGGAAGGAAGAAAATAAGAGTAGCAAACAGCAAGGCCTCATTTCCTTTACACAGGTTTGGGGGAATAGTCCAAACTTCATGCTATAGGCTTTTGCCTAGGCAAGTTTATAAAGACGGCTATGGCCGGGATAGAACAGTATTCCCCAACTTAATTTCAAACCTAAATTTTCAACCCATACACTTATTACAATTATTTTCAGACTTCAGATACGTATTACAATTATTTTACTCAATTTTTTCAGAGTGCATTAAAGCATTGGGGATCTGCTGAATGCTAAAGACGTGTAAAGGCATCCGGCCGCACATCAAGAAGAATATCTCACCATGAATTTATCAAAGTGTGTGTGTGTGAGATGTAACTGATGTGTGGCCGGATGTAATGTTCTCAGGGTGCTCCTATGCTTTTTGCTCTCGTGCATTAAAGAAACTGTTGAGGTTTGCGAAATTCAACGGCCACAATAAATGACCTAGTTTGGTGTGGCTGCTAGATTTCAACAGCCACAATAATTGTTCTACCATTTTGACTCCACCAAAACTGCCCATTTAATTTATTCCTCAAATTCTGCCTCTCCATCTTTTCGCCAAAATTCAAGGGGGCATGTTCCCTTTTTTCTTCTATAAAAAGGGTGCCTCCCGGGGGTAGTGGGTGTATGGAGTGAGAGCATTAGAAAGCTGAAGGGATTGGGAGAACTCCATCATCATCTTCCGGCAAGATCTGCTCTTATTCTGTTTGGGATTGTTTTTCTTCTTCACTGCTGCCATTAAGGGTTCTCTCACACCAGATCAAAGCAGTCATCTATGCTTTTGAGTGCTTCAAGGCTTTGTTAAAGGCATTTTGGCACTAGTAAGGTCGTCAGTTTGTAGTTTTTTCATCAAGGACATGAATAAACAAGTTTTCTTTCTTCTCCCGTGGATGTAGGTCTCTTTGACTGAACCACGTAAATATGGTGCCATCTTTACCTTTCTTTTGCTCTTATTATTTGTTTTATAATTCACATATTTCTCAATTATTTTCTTGTTTGCCATACTAATTAATCAGTAATTCAGAGTTTAAATCCTAACAAACTGGTATCAGAGCATTGTTTTGGGATTATTTACCGTTTAATTTTGCTACTAATGGCATCAATGAAGTTTGACATTGAGAAATTTGATAGATCTGTGAATTTTGGTCTATGGAAGCTCAAGATGAGAGTGATTCTGATTTAGAATGGCTTGGAGAAAGCCTTGGCGGGGCAAAAGAAAAAGCCTGAATCCATGTCCGATGAAAAGTGGGAGGAGATTGATACGAAAGCCATGTCGGCTATTCATTTGTGCTTATCGAACGAGGTTCTTCGTGAAGTTGCTAAAAAACCTCTACAATAGAATCGTGGCTCAAGTTGGAGTCACTCTATATGACAAAGAGCGTGACCAATCGACTTCTGCTGAAAAGTAGACTTAAGGACCTTCGTCTTTGTGAAGGTAACTCAATTAAAACTCACCTTGATGAGTTTTTCTCGATTGTAATTGATGATGAAGATCTGGCTAACACTCTTTTATGTTCTTTACCCGCATCATATAAGCATTTTAGAGAGACCTTATTGTATGGGTGTGAGGAGATTACAGTTGAAGATGTAAAGAATGCATTGTTACAACGCGAACTAATTGATAATCAACTGACCAATAACCCAAGTAACTAATTGATAATCAACGCGAGCAAGTGTTGCGACGAATGAGTCAGAGAATGATCTTCTGCTAATTGCAGATGCAGTTGCAAGGAAAGGTTCAGAATGGATTATGGACTCAGGATGTTCTTACCACATGTGTCCCGATAAAAGTGCATTCTCCACATATGAGAATTTTGATGGTGAAGTTGTTTTGATGAGCAACAACGCAGCTTGCAAGTTTGTCAATAAAGGGACCGTCCGGGTGCGTATGCATGATGGTATTGTGAGGACATTAAATGAAGTCCGTCATGTTCCTGATCTAAAGAAGAACCTAATTTCTTTGGGTACACTTGACTCTAGGGGTTGCAGATATTCAACTGAAGGTGGAGTTCTTAAGGTAACCAAAGGTGCTTTGGTAGTTATGAAAGCTAACAAGGTTGGTAGATTATATGTATTGCAGGGAAGTACTGTGATAGAATCTTCTGCTTTGGTCTCGTCATCCATGTCCGAGGAAGATCTTACAAAGATGTGGCATATAAGGCTCGGACATATGAGCGAGAAAGGGATGACTTCTTTGAGCAAGCGGGGCTTACTTTGTGGGCATGTCACAGGTACTCTTGAATTATGTGAACATTGTGTGTTTGGTAAACACAAAATGGTTAGCATTGCCAAAGGGATACATAGGACCAAAGGTACACTTGATTACATCCATTCAGATTTATGGGGCCCTTCTCGTGTTTCTTCGAAGGGTGGAGCAAATTATCTTTTGACATTCATCGATGATTTCTCCAGAAAGGTATGGGTGTATTTTCTCAAAAATAAAAATGATGTGTTTGGAGTCTTCTTGTAGTGGAAAACTATGATCGAGAAGCAGACAGGGAGGCAGATTAAAAGGTTGATGACTGATAATGGGCTCGAGTTTTGTGAGTCTGACTTTACAAATTATTGTTTGAAGGAAGGTATCGTTAGACACCGCGACTGTGTTGGTCGACCTCAACAGAACGGTGTCGCAGAGCGGATGAACCGCACACTCTTGGAAAGGGCCCGTTGCATGTTGTCCAATGCAAGTTTGGATAAGTCCTTTTGGACCGAAGCAGTTTCCACGACAGCCTATTTGGTGAACCGATCTCTGCATTCAGCTCTCGAGGCTAAGACTCCATTTGAGATTTGGTCAGGTACTCCTACTGACTATTCATCTTTAAGAATTTTTGGTTGTCCTGCTTATACTCATGTTAACGATGAAAAGTTAGAACCTAGAGCCAAGAAATGTATTTTTGTGGGTTATGGCTCCGGTGTAAAGGGATACAAGTTGTATTTCCCTTCAAGCAAAAAAATTATTATCAATCGTGATGTTATATTTGATGAATCGCACATGTTATCTCCAAGGAAGGGGGATTCTGTTGCTGGTGATTCAGGTACATCACAGGATGACCGGATGCAGGTGGAGGTGGAGCCCAGTCCATCTTCACAGCCTTCTCAGTCTATTTCAGATGATCCAATCACATCAGATGATGTTCAGCCCAGTCAGGAGTCGCATACTATTGCCAAAGATAGACCGAGGCGACAGATAAGACCACCAAGCAGATTTAATGATTGTGTGTCTTATGCATTGACCGTCGCTTATGAGGTAGATAGCACTACCGATCCGACCACTTACGATGAAGCTATATCTAGTCCAAACAGTGGTAAGTGGTTAGTTTCCATGGAAGAGGAGATTGCATCTCTCGAAAAGAATGGCACATGGGAGCTTGTATCACCACCACCAAAGAAGAAAATTGTTGGGTGCAAGTGGGTCAACAAGACTAAGGAGGGTATTCCTGGTGTTGAGGATGCTCGACACAAAGCAAGGTTAGTGGCATAGGGTTTCAGTCAAGTTTCAGGTATTGACTATACCGAAGTCTTCTCCCTTGTTGTTAAACATTCTTCTATTCGTACCTTGCTTGCTTTAGTAGCTATGCATGACATGGAATTAGAGCAGTTAGACGTTAAAATTGCATTCTTGCATGGTAATTTGAAAGAGAAGATTTATATGAAACAACCAGATGGTTTTGTTGTGGAAGGAAAGGAATACCACATTTTCTTGTTGAAGAAGTCTCTGTATGGACTTAAGCAGTCTCCAAGACAGTGGTATAAGCGCTTTGACGCTTTTATGACTTCTAGTGGTTATTCCAGGAGTGCCTTTGACAGTTGCGTTTATTTCAAGAAGCTCTCTAATGATTCCTTCATTTATTTGTTATTATTTGTCGACGACATGCTCATTGCCTCTAAGAATAAGTCTGAAATTGTGAAGTTGAAGTCTTTTTTGAACAGTGAGTTTGAGATGAAGAATCTGGGTCTAGCGAAGAAAATTCTGGGTATGGAGATTATTCGTCATCGTGAGCACGGGAAACTATTTCTTAGTCAGCAGAACTATATTGAGAAAGTTCTTGATCATTTTGGCATGTCAGATGTCAAACCTGTCTCCACTCCTCTTGCAGCTCATTCAAGTTGTCAGCAGAGCAGTCACTGAAGTCTAATGAGGAAAAGGTATATATGGCTCGTGTGCCTTACTCTAGTGCTGTTGGTAGCATCATGTATGCTATGGTATGTTAGCGTCTAGATATTGCTTAGGTAGTCAGTGTTGTAAGCCATTATATGTTCTGTCTGGGGAATGCTCATTGGGAAGCCGTAAAATGGATACTTAGGTATTTGAGAGGTACATCTGATTTCTGCCTTGAGTTTGGAAGATCCACAGAGAAGCTTGTCGGTTGTTGTGATTCTGATTATACTGGAGATCTTGATCGGAGGAGATCTCTCACTGGCTATTGTTTCACTTTGGGTAGTACCTCAGTTAGTTGGAAAGCTTCACTTCAGTCGACTGTTGCCTTGTCTACGACTGAAGTAGAGTATATGGTGGTGGTTGATGCCGCTAAGGAAGCTTTATGGTTACAAAATCTGGTTGGTGAACTCACAGGTAGACAGAAGGCTACAGAGATCTATTGTGACCGTCAGAGTGCCATATATCTGACTCATGACCAGATGTTTCATGAGAAGACCAAGCACATTGATGTGCGTTATCACTTTGTTCGTGATATTGTTGAGAATGGTCGTGTTTTGGTCAACAAAATAGCTTCCGCTGAGAATCCTGCAGATATGTTGATAGCCATTACCACCATCCAAGTTTGATGCTTGCATTGACTTGGTGGGTCTTGTCTCATTTGATGCTTGATGCCCTCGGGGCATTTGGAGGGGAAGATTTGTTGTTTGAATTCTCGCCAAGATGGAGATTGTTGACATTTGGTGTGGCTGCGAAATTCAACAACCACAATAAATGACGTCGTTTGGTGTGGCTGCTGAGATTTCAACAACCACAATAAATGTTCTACCATTTCGAATCCACCAAAACTGCACATTTAATTTGACTCCTCAAATTT